TGAAGCACCAGAGAAATATGGGGTGGTGTCCAAAGCGTACTGTATCTTAAAAACATAACATCCAAAATCCTGTTATATGTTCCCCCGCTTTTCACCCACACCCGTTTCTCATGAATCTTTAGGAATTAAAATCAAGATTTCCTTTTCTCATTCTGCTTGTTTCACTCACAAAATAAGACAGAAACTGCTTTAGCCAATTTGGCTCAGTGGATAGAGCATCAGCCTGTGGACCAAAGGGTCCTGGGTTCGATTCCGGTCAAGGGCACATACCTCGGTTGCAGGCTCCTCCCCGGCCTGGGCCCTGGTTGGGGCTCATGCAGAAGGCAACCAATTGATGTGTTTCTCTCACATCGATGTTTCTCTCTGTCTTTCCCTCTCCCTTCCACTCTTCCTAAAAATCAATGGAAAAATATCCTCTGGTGAGGATAAACAACAACAAAAATAAGACAGAAACTTTACACAACTAATGCTAACTGGCACAGAGAAAGTCATAAATGATAAGATAAACACTTTAGCCCATTACTGCTTGAAAAGTGAAGTTTAGCAGAGCTCAGAAGCCAACTGCAAAAATCTTGCAAATTGCACACTGCATGATTTTATGTATTTATAATAAGTGATCATTTCCTTGAATTAAGGTTTCTTATAAAAATGCTTTTCCTATTACAATTTATTATGATCAGTGGGGTTTGAGCTCAGTAAAATTTTCAAATAGTTATCCTATTTTTAAAAAATACATTATTATTGATTTCAGAGAGGAAGGGAGAAGGAAAGCAAAATAGAAACATCAGTGATGAGAGAGAATCAGTGATCGGCTGCTTCCTGCATGCCCCACACTGGGGATCGAGCCTCAACCTGGGAATCAACCATGACCTTCTGGTTCATATGTCAGTGCTGAACCACTGAGCCACACTGGCCAGGCAGTAGTTATCCTACTTAAAATGGTTTTTCCTTTCCATCAAATTAGACACTTCCAGGCACCTTCTAATTGTTAGGCAGTGGTTTGAGGTCATGTTCATTCAGCAGTAAATAAACTTCCTGACCCCATGGAGTTTACATTCTCATGGACATGGATTTCCGTCATTTTACCTTTGCAAAGGTCCCGATCTTCTTTATTTTTAAGGCCTTTATCCTGTGTAGATTTTTGTGAAACTAAAGGTTCTGACCAACTTATTGTACCACTCTTATAGGCTTACTCTGTGGAGCATTCTCTTAAGAACTGTGACATTTTGAACTCTGCCAAAACACAGGCCACATTATGAACTCTGTGATGAACCAGAAGACAGGAACTCTTACTAAGGCCTTATCACATGCAAAACATGTATAGGATTTCCTTGTAGTAAGGATTGTCTAATGAACTTGAAGACTTGAGGTCTGACTGAACTTATTACCATAGGCCACATTCACAGGGTTTCTCATCCCTGTGGATTCTCTGATGAACATGAAGATACGAGTTCCACATGAGGCTGTTCCCACACTCTTAACATTTATAGGATTTCTCTCCAGTGTGTACTCATTGATGAGATTGAAGATTTGAACTCTGACGCTCTTCCCACACAAAGCACATTTGTAGAGTTTCTCCCCTGTGTGGACTCGCTAATCATCTTGAAGACTTGTGGTATAGCTGAAGCTCCTATCACATACAGCACATTTGTAGTATTTCTCTCCTGTGTAGATCTCTGATGAACATGACAATACCAAGATCTGCAGGGTTTCTCTGCAGTGTGGACTCACTGATAAGCTTGAAGACTTGAGGTCTTACTGAGGCTCTTTCCACACACAGCACATATGTAGGGTTTCTCTCTTGGGTGTACTCACTGATAGGCTTGAAGATGTGAACTCCAACTTAAGTCTTTCCCACACGCAGCACATTTGTAGGGTTTCTCTCCAGTGTGGATTCATGGATATTCCTGAAGACAGTGATCAAAGCCCTTACCACATGTCCACATTTGTATGTCTTGTCTCCTGTATGAATTTTCTGATGGATCTGAAGGTGGGGAAATGGGAATGAAGCTCTTACCACATCTCTCATATTTGTATGGCTTGAAGATGTGAGGTTTAACTCAAGCTCTTACCAAACACACCACATATATAGGGTTTCTCTCCTGTGTAGATCCTCTGATGAACAGGAAGACAGGAGCTCCACATGAAGCCTTTCCCACACACAGGATATTTGTAGGGTTTCTCTCCATTGAGGACTTATTGATGGGCTTGAAGATGTGAACTCAGTGAAGCTCTTTCCTCACATGTCACATTTGTATGGCTCCTCTCCCCTGTGGATTGTCTATTGAACTTGAAACACAAGTTCCACATGAAGCCTTTCCCACACGCTTAACAATTGTAGGGTTACTCACCAGTGTGGACTCAGTATGGTCTTGAAGGCTTGAAGTATGGTTGAGGCTCTTACCACACACAGCACATCTGTAGTGTTTCTCTATGTGTGTACTCACTGATGGGATTTAAGATATGAAGTCTGACTGAAGCACTTACCACACACAGCACATTTGTAGGGTGTGTCTCCTGTGTGGACTCGCTCATGGGCTTGAAGATATGAACTCCGACTTAAGCCCTTCCCACAAACACCACATTTGTAGGGTTTCTCTCCTGTGTGGATTCTCCGATGAACATGAAGACATGAGCTCCACATGAAGCCTTTACCACACATAGCACATTTATAGGGTTTCTCTCTAGTGTGGACTCACTGATGGGCCTGAAGATTTGAGTTCTGACCGAAGCTCCTCTCGCACACCACATTTATGGGATTTTTCTCCTGTGTGTATCCTCTGATGAACATGAAGATTCACGCTCCACATGAATCTCCCACACTCTTTACATTTGTAAGGTTTCTCTCCTGTGTTAACTCTCTGATGAATTTGCACATGGGAGCTTTGAATGTCTCCCCACACATTACATATATGGGGTTTTGCTCCTAGGAGAAAATGCTGATGAAGTTCAAGATCGGGCCCACAACCTGGCATGTGCCCTGACTGGGAACCGAACCCATGCCCTCCTGGTTCATGGGCTGATGCTCAGCTATTCTCTCTCCTTTTAAAGAGAGTTTTAAAAATAATTAGCCTATTTAATATACTTGAAATCACACAGAAAGCTTTCCCAAATCAAAATGAATATGAATAGTAATAATATCCTATTTATGTACACATATTTTTCAAAAAATGGATATTCTAAATATTTCACTCTGCCCTAGGGAAAAACTTGCAAACATTTAAAGCCAAGTTCAAACAGGCAACTCCCAGGGATACCAAGTGTCCTGTCAGTGACACAGGGCAAGCCAAGAGCAATGGTTCTCTATGGGGGCATCTGGCAGTGGTGCTCTGGATATTTGTGATCCACACATTGGAAATAAATTATTTCCAATGCTCAATACACACTTCTAATAAGCCATATGTAACTTATTTACAAAAAAATTGTTGTCTTTGACTATTGTTTCTTACAAAAACAGTGTTGTTGTTTTTTATCAATTGCATTGAAATCAAATTTATTACCACACCATTTTGTTTTGTCATTTACAGTCACTTTATTTTATACATTTACAAATATATCTTTAGAAAAATCCATAAAAAAGACTCTGACTTACTCTAAATTACAGGTTTCCAAAGAGATCATATCTTTAAATTAGATAAAAATGTATAAAATTCTGAAGACTTCTAAGACCATAACTTACAACCTGGAGATTTTTGTCCAATGGTAAAGACATTAATTAAAGACTCTCTACAACAGTGTTGGAAGATACCTTACCTAATCAGGTGCCTAACCATGAATGGACATCTGACCCTGACTCTGACACTTACCTCTATATACAGTGGAGATCAAAGACTTTTCAAGAATAAAAAGCCCAAACATCAGAAATAGACAGCCATCCTGAGATACCAACAAGGCCTATAGACCTACAAATTAATGTTACTACTACTATTAGCAATAATAATAATAATAATAATAATAATACTTGTTCTTTAGGCTTTTCTCAAACCCTATACAATGTAAATGTAACCCAACTGTTAATAATTACTGAATGTGTATAACATCTACCTGCATGATAAATAATAATCTTTTTATGATATCACTTTTAAAATTTATTTTAAAATGCTATTGTAAAAAGTTAAGTAAAAAGAAATATTAAGCCCAGCAGGTGTGGCTCCATGGCCGAGTGTCAACCTATGAACCAGGAGGTCATGGATCGATTCCTGGTCAGGGCACATGCCTGGATTTCGGGCTTCATCCCTAGTGGGTGGTGTGCAGGAGGCAGGCAATTGATGATTCTCTCTCATCACTGATATTCCTATCTATCCCTCTCCCTTCCTCTCTGAAGTCAATAAAAATATTTTTTTAAAGAAATATTAAACCAGGCCTGTGTAGCTCAGTGGATTGAGTGTTGTCCTATGCACCAAGAGGTCGCTGATTTGATTCCTGGTCAGGGCACATGCCTGGGTTTTGGGCTTAATCCCCAGTAATGTGTGTGCAGGAGGCAGCCGATCAATGTTTCTCTCTCATTGATGTTTCTATCTCTCCCTTTCCCTTCCTCTCTCTCTCTAAAATCAATAAAAAATATTTTAAAAAGAGAAATATTAAGAAAGGAATTTTATATTTAAAGACAAAAAAACCTAATTATGAAACGTATCTCACATTTGTATAACTTCTATCTTGTGTGGACTCTCTGATGAGCTTGAAGACTTGAGTTCTGACTGAAGTTTTTACCACACATGTCACATTTGTAGGGTTTCTGTCCTGAGTGGATCCTCTGTTGAACATGAAGATACGAGCTCCACATGAAGCCTTTCTCACACACAGCACATTTGTAGGGTTTCTCTCTACTGTGAACTCACTGATGAACTTGCAGAAGTGAAGTCTGATTGAACCTCTTAGCACACAGGGCACATTTGTAGGGTTCCTCTGTAGTGTGGATTTGCTGATGAGTTTGGAGACTGCGGTCTGACTGGAAACTCTTACCACAGCCAGCACATTTGTAGGGTTTGTCTTTTGTGTGGACTCATTGATGTTCTTGAAGACGTGAACTGTGATTAAAGCCCTTATGGCATGTCTCACATTTTTATGAGCTTGAAGATGAGACTTAGTGAGACTGAAGGTCTTGCCTCACAGGTGACATTTATAGGGATTCTCTCCTGTGTGGATCCTCTGACGAACCTGAAGATACAGACTCTACATGAAGCTTCTCCCACACTCTTAACATTTGTAGGGTTTCTCAACAGTGTGGATTCGCTGATGGTCTTGAAGACTTGAGGTATGGTTGAAGCTCTTACCACACACAGTACATTTGTAGTGTTTCTCTCCAGTGTGGACTCGCTGATGGGACTGAAGATATGAACTCCGACTGAAGCTCTTTACACACACAGCACATTTGTAGGGTTTCTCTCCTGTGTGGACTCGCTGATGAGTCTGGAGACTTGAGGTCTGACTGAAGCTCTTCCCACACACGCTACATTTGTAGGGTTTCTCTCCTGTGTGGATCCTCTGATGAACATGAAGACTTGAGGTCACCATGAAGCCTTTACCACACTGTTCACATTTGTAGGGTTTCTCGCCAGTGTGGACACGTTGATGGTATTGAAGACTTGAGGTCTGACTGAAGCTCTTACCACACACAGCACAACTGTACGGCTTCTCTCCTGTGTGGAATCGCTGATGGCCTTGAAGATGTGAACTCCGACTGAAGCTCTTACCACACACAGCACATTGGTAGGGTTTCTCTCCAGTGTGGATTCGCTGATGGGCTTGAAGATGTGAACTCTGACTGAAGCTCTTTCCACACACCCCACATTTGTAAGGTTTCTCTTCTGTGTGGACCCTCTCATGAACATGAAGATATGAGCTCCACATGAAGCCTTTCCCACACACAGTACATTTGTAGGGTTTCTCTCCAGTGTGGACTCGCTGATGAACTTGCAAATGTGATTTCTGACTAAAGCTCTTACCACACACAGTGCATTTGTAGGGTTTCTCTCCCGTGTGGATTCGCTGATGGGCTTGAAGACTTGAGGTCTGACTAAAACTCTTACTACACACAGAACATCTGTAGGGTTTGTCTCCAGTGTGGACTTGTTGATGTTCTTGAAGATGTGAACTATGAGTAAAGCCCGTACCACATACCTCACATTTGTATGGCTTCTCTACAGTGTGGATTCGCTGATGGGCATGAAGCTGTGAACTCAGTCTAAAGCCCTTTCCACACACAGCACATTTGTAGGGTTTCTCTCCTGTGTGGACTCGCTGATGAGTCTGGAGACTTGAGGTCTGACTGAAGCTCTTCCCACACACGCTACATTTGTAGGGTTTCTCTCCTGTGTGGATCCTCTGATGAACATGAAGACTTGAGGTCACCATGAAGCCTTTACCACACTGTTCACATTTGTAGGGTTTCTCGCCAGTGTGGACACGTTGATGGTATTGAAGACTTGAGGTCTGACTGAAGCTCTTACCACACACAGCACAACTGTACGGCTTCTCTCCTGTGTGGAATCGCTGATGGCCTTGAAGATGTGAACTCCGACTGAAGCTCTTACCACACACAGCACAACTGTACGGCTTCTCTCCTGTGTGGAATCGCTGATGGCCTTGAAGATGTGAACTCCGACTGAAGCTCTTACCACACACAGCACAACTGTACGGCTTCTCTCCTGTGTGGAATCGCTGATGGCCTTGAAGATGTGAACTCCGACTGAAGCTCTTACCACACACAGCACATTGGTAGGGTTTCTCTCCAGTGTGGATTCGCTGATGGGCTTGAAGACTTGAGGTCTGACTAAAACTCTTACTACACACAGAACATCTGTAGGGTTTGTCTCCAGTGTGGACTTGTTGATGTTCTTGAAGATGTGAACTATGAGTAAAGCCCGTACCACATACCTCACATTTGTATGGCTTCTCTACAGTGTGGATTCGCTGATGGGCATGAAGCTGTGAACTCAGTCTAAAGCCCTTTCCACACACAGCACATTTGTAGGGTTTCTCTCCTGTGTGGACTCGCTGATGAGTCTGGAGACTTGAGGTCTGACTGAAGCTCTTCCCACACACGCTACATTTGTAGGGTTTCTCTCCTGTGTGGATCCTCTGATGAACATGAAGACTTGAGGTCACCATGAAGCCTTTACCACACTGTTCACATTTGTAGGGTTTCTCGCCAGTGTGGACACGTTGATGGTATTGAAGACTTGAGGTCTGACTGAAGCTCTTACCACACACAGCACAACTGTACGGCTTCTCTCCTGTGTGGAATCGCTGATGGCCTTGAAGATGTGAACTCCGACTGAAGCTCTTACCACACACAGCACAACTGTACGGCTTCTCTCCTGTGTGGAATCGCTGATGGCCTTGAAGATGTGAACTCCGACTGAAGCTCTTACCACACACAGCACAACTGTACGGCTTCTCTCCTGTGTGGAATCGCTGATGGCCTTGAAGATGTGAACTCCGACTGAAGCTCTTACCACACACAGCACATTGGTAGGGTTTCTCTCCAGTGTGGATTCGCTGATGGGCTTGAAGATGTGAACTCTGACTGAAGCTCTTTCCACACACCCCACATTTGTAAGGTTTCTCTTCTGTGTGGACCCTCTCATGAACATGAAGATATGAGCTCCACATGAAGCCTTTCCCACACACAGTACATTTGTAGGGTTTCTCTCCAGTGTGGACTCGCTGATGAACTTGCAAATGTGATTTCTGACTAAAGCTCTTACCACACACAGTGCATTTGTAGGGTTTCTCTCCCGTGTGGATTCGCTGATGGGCTTGAAGACTTGAGGTCTGACTAAAACTCTTACTACACACAGAACATCTGTAGGGTTTGTCTCCAGTGTGGACTTGTTGATGTTCTTGAAGATGTGAACTATGAGTAAAGCCCGTACCACATACCTCACATTTGTATGGCTTCTCTACAGTGTGGATTCGCTGATGGGCATGAAGCTGTGAACTCAGTCTAAAGCCCTTTCCACACACAGCACATTTGTAGGGTTTCTCTCCTGTGTGGACTCGCTGATGAGTCTGGAGACTTGAGGTCTGACTGAAGCTCTTCCCACACACGCTACATTTGTAGGGTTTCTCTCCTGTGTGGATCCTCTGATGAACATGAAGACTTGAGGTCACCATGAAGCCTTTACCACACTGTTCACATTTGTAGGGTTTCTCGCCAGTGTGGACACGTTGATGGTATTGAAGACTTGAGGTCTGACTGAAGCTCTTACCACACACAGCACAACTGTACGGCTTCTCTCCTGTGTGGAATCGCTGATGGCCTTGAAGATGTGAACTCCGACTGAAGCTCTTACCACACACAGCACAACTGTACGGCTTCTCTCCTGTGTGGAATCGCTGATGGCCTTGAAGATGTGAACTCCGACTGAAGCTCTTACCACACACAGCACAACTGTACGGCTTCTCTCCTGTGTGGAATCGCTGATGGCCTTGAAGATGTGAACTCCGACTGAAGCTCTTACCACACACAGCACATTGGTAGGGTTTCTCTCCAGTGTGGATTCGCTGATGGGCTTGAAGATGTGAACTCTGACTGAAGCTCTTTCCACACACCCCACATTTGTAAGGTTTCAATAGAATATGGCAGAAGTGAGAGTACATCACTTCCAAGGTTAGGTCATAAAAGACATTGTGGCTTCTGCCTTCCACTGTCTTGGGTGTAACCAGCTGGGGGGAACTAACTGCCATGTTTGGAAGACACTCAGGAGCTCAGTGGAGAGGCCCACTGGCAAGGCCTTCTCCCAACAATCAGGTGAACGAGTGCATCTTGGAAGCTGAAACTTTAGTCCCATTAAACCTTCCAAGGCCGGAAGCTCTGCTGGACTCCTTGACAGGTTTATGAGATTCTGACCCTTATTATCCAGATAAGCTGCCACCAGATTCCTGACTCACAGAAGTATAGATAAATGCTTATTGTGATAAACTGCTAAGTTTAAGGATAGCCCTAGCTGGTTTGGCTCAGTGAATAGAGCGTTGGACTGTGGACTGGAAGGTCCTGGGTTCAATTCCAGACAAGGGCACATGCCCGGGTTGCGGGCTCAATCCTAGGTAGGGGGCGTGCAGGAGGCAGCTGATCAATGATACTCTCATCATTGATGTTTCTATCTCTCTCTCCCTTTCCCTTCCTCTCTGAAATCAATAAAAATATATTTTAAAAAATAAATAAATCCTGTAGAAATACTAATATCAATCAACATAAAAAGCATTTAAGAGTAGTTATACAGGTATAAGTAACTAATACAAGTACCATAAAAATTATTGTTCATCAGAAGCATAATAATGTTCTTAAATAATCCCTAAGTCACACTGCTTTTTTCTCCCCTTGTGAGCTGTCTCCAGGAGTGAAGACAGTGAGATCCACCTAGCACCATTCTCAATGAGCTTTTGTTTATAAGAATTCTTATGAGAGAAGAAAGCCTTTGGTTTGTGCATTATTGCAGTGAAATTAGGCCTCTAAGACATTCCTCATAGATGGAGCAGGGCAACTAGATAGACACCAAAAAATGCAAAACCTTGTGATATTCTGATGTTGCCAAAAGGAACTTTTACAAGGGAGATGTGCGCAGAATATACTATAAGATTCGTTCAACTTTCTGAGGAGTGGGAGTTACAGAGGTGCATCTATTTGTCAAAACTAATCAAATTGCATGCTTAGCATGTGCATATGTAAATGTTAACTCAATAAAAAGAACTTACACAAATAAGAAGTCATTTCACTCCCTGAAAATTCATGTACATTTATAATCTGTGCAGTTTTCTGTATATATTTCAATAAAATGTTGGCCCAAAATTATAAAAGTAAAGACTTGTTTGAGAAGGCAAAGCAGCCCTGGCCAGGTATCTTAGTTGGATAGAGCATTGCCCAATATGATCAGTTGCGAGTTCAATCCCTGGTCAGGGCACATAAAAGAATCAACCAATGAATGCCTATATTAGTGGAACAACAAATCAATGTCTCTCTCTCTCTCACCCTTTCTCTCAAATCAATTAATTCTATATAATAAAAGCCTAATATGCAAATCGACCGAATGGCGGAACGACCGGTCGCTATGATGCACACTGACCACCAGGGGGCAGATGCTCAATGTAGGAGCTGCCCCTAGCCCACAGGCCCCAGGCCAGCCAAGGCGGGTGCCAGAGGAGGCCCCTGATCGCCCCGCTGGTCGCCCCACAGAGGGAGGTGACCAGCAGTGGTGGCAGGGGGCAAGGCGGGCAAACAGGCGGTGCCAGGCTGGCCAAGGCAGGTGTCAGCGGGGGCCCCCCGATCGCCCTGCCAATCACCCCACAGATCGGCCCTGATCACCGGCCAGGCCTAGGGACCTTACCTGTGCATGGATTTCATGCACCGGGCCTCTAGTCAATCAATAATAAAATATAGCCTTCCTTTAAAAAAAATTATTATTTTAAAAGGCAAAGCAGTTATAAAGCAAAACCAGACAACAGTTGTAACTGGAATGGTAATTCCAAGGTAGGTCTGTACAGAAAAATAAGGGAGCGAGTCAAATGGAGGCAGCATCTAACCTCCCTGACTGTGGGAAAACTTCTAGCAGCATGAAGACACAAGAGCAGAAATGATGAAAGGACTGAGAAGACTTTCCCCCACTACTCACCACAGGTAGGGCCTCGTCTGTCAGATAAGCAGCTAGAGCAGGGGTGGGCAAACTTTTTGACTCGAGGGCCACAGTGGGTTCTTAAACTGGACCGGAGGGCCGGAACAAAAGCATGGATGGAGTGTTTGTGTGAACTAATATAAATTAAAGTAAACATCATTACATAAAAGGGTATGGTCTTTTTTTTTTTTTAGTTTTATTCATTTCAAACGGGCCGGATCCGGCCCGCGGGCCGTAGTTTGCCCACAGCTGAGCTAGATTCTCCTGGTTCTTTTGCTTCTCTGATTTAGCTTTTTATTTTTGTGCTTATATCCAATAGGGATGACTGTAATTACTGTATTTAGGCTGGGCTTACTTGAGGGATACACAAAGTAAAATAAGTGAATGAAGAAGGGAGTGAAGAAGAGGGGGAAATGAAGGAAAGGAAGGGAGGAGAGAGGAAGGTAGGCAGGGATGATGTCACCGGGTAAATGGATGGGGCACTGCTCACAATGGCAATGCAGAGAACGAACACAGGTTAAGAGAAGCTGTGGGGGAGCCTTTTCACTCACATTCAAATGGGACCGCCTACCCATTCATCCATTAATTCATCATTTAATCATTCATCAAACAAATAATTAATGAACATATCCTGTGAGTTAAGATACAATCCCTGATCTCCTGATGTTACACTCAAATGGGGAAAGAAAGACAATATACAAGTAAACAAAATATAATCCTTTAATATATCAGCAAGTAATTAACGATCAGTCACAAAAAAAGACAGGGTAGGGGGCTGGGGATTTTAAGCAGAGTGCTCAGAACAGGCTTCTGAGATGAGATGACATCTGAGCAGACACGGGTGAGTGAGGCAGGAGACAGAAGGATGTACGGGGAGAACAAGGAAGAGCAAGAGAAAGGCCATGAGGTGGGGCACAGTTGGCATGTCAGAGCCACAGCAAGCAGTCTTGTGTGGCTGGAAGGCTAAGGAAAGGAAATCCAGCCAGAGCAGGTGAGGGCGGCCAGGTCAGGCAGCGCCCTGCAGGCCACGGGAATTATTTCAGACTGTCTGAGTGAGATGGAAGCCATGCAAGAGTGAACAGACCAGTTACCTGATCTGACTGACCAGTTACGATCTGGCTGCTGTAGGAGAACAGACTACAGAAGGCAAAAGCAGAGGCAAGGAGGCAGTGAGAGCTGCTGTAAGTAAGCAGCGTAATGAATGATGGAGGCTTGGGCCAGGGTGGCGACCCTTCGGGGGAGAGAAGGAGAGCACCTGGGCCCAGGAAGGACTCAGCTGCCTGGCTGTCACCTGCTCACCTGCCTCCTTAGGTTTCTGTCTCTATCATCGGAAGCTACTCTTCTCTCCCCAAGTGTAATTTCCTATCCAATTTGAAGGGTTGATATGCTATGAAAAATAAATGGCTTATATACAAGGGGATACACTAAAGGCAAAAACTTAATCCTTATCCAAAAAGGCAATACTATGATCCTTATGCATGCTAAATAGTATTTCTCCAAATTCTGATCCTGACTTGTTGCAATAAATACAACAGGCAGCCCTAGCTGGTTTGACTCAGTGGATGGAGTGTCGGCCTGCAGACTGAAGGGTCCCGGTTTGATTCCAATCAAGGGCTTATGCCCAGGTTTCGGGCTCAATCCCCAGTAGAGGGCGTGCAGGAGGCAGCCAATTGATGATTCTCTCTCATCATTGATGTTTCTATCTCTCTCTCCCTCTCCCTTCCTCTCTGAAATCAATAAAAATATATTTTAAAAAATACAACAGGCAATCAAATGATCATCCTTTCCTGATTTACTCACAGTTTTGGTTATACTGTATGCATTTCCGACAAGGAGCTATGCTGTCTTTATTCTACTTTGTTCAGTACAATAAAGATGTAACTAAACAACTGATTTTAAACCCCACCAAATGTCAATACTGCAATTTGCAAAAAATAGGAAAAGTACAGACAGGATATCTCACAGGACTTAGGAAACTGAGATCCCAGGTTTGGGACACATTTTAAGAGTCCCAAAGTCTTAAACATTTGAAATCAAAATACTCCTGGGAGCTGACATTCAGTGACAGAGCGCCTGTCCTCACCCACTGAGACCAGGTTCCGGAAGTTCTCCAGCATCACGTCTCGGTACAGCTTCCTCTGGGACGGGTCCAGCAGCGCCAGCTCCTCCTCCGTGAAGACCACAGCCACGTCCTGGAACGTCACCGCCTCCTACAACACCGAACACAGGAAACCTCAACTTTATGACCAATGGGCAGGGGAAGAGAGCAGCTCTGAGGGGCAGAGGGGATGGGGGAAGTTGACCTGGATTCTGCCAGCCCTGAGTCTATTTTTTTAAATATATTTTATTGATTTCTTACAGAGAGGAAGGGAGAGGGATAGAGAGTCATAAACATCAAAGAGAGAGAAACATCGATCAGCTGCCTCCTGCACACTCCCTACTGGAGATGTGCCCGCAACCAAGGTACATGCCCTTGACCGGAATCGAACCTGGGACCCTTGAGTCCGCAGGCCAACGCTCTATCCACTGAGCCAACCCGGTTAGGGCCTGCATCTATTTTAAGCACCTTCCCCCTCTTCTCCATCCAGCATGTCAATTTCATACACTAATTTTCCACAGCCCCTTCAAAAGTATGTGCAATTTACCCTCTTTGGTGTGGCTCAGTTGGTTGAACACCAGAAGGTCTCGGGTTCGATTTCTAGTGAGGGCACATGCACAGGTTGCGGGCTCGATCCCCAGTAGGGGACTTGCAGGAGGCAACCGATTGATGCTTCTCTCTCACCCTCTCATTTCCTGTCTCTCTCTCTCAAAATAATAAAAACATATATGAAAAATTGTGCAATTAAGAATAATCCCTGTTGCCCTGACTGGTTTGGCTCAGTGGATAGAGCATCGGCCTAGGGACTAAAGGGTCCCAGGTTTGATTCCGGTCAAGGGCATGTACCTTGGTTGCCGGCATATCCCCAGTGGGGGATGTGCAGGAGGCAGCTGATCAATGTTTCTCTCTCATTGATGTTTCTAAGTCTCTATCCCTCTCCCTTCCTCTCTGTAAAAAATCAATAAAATATATTTTTTTAAAAAAAGAAAGAATAATCCCTGTTGCCCTAGCCGGTTTGGCTCAGTGGATGGAGTGTCGGCTTGCGGACTGAAGGGTCCCAGGTTTGATTCCGGTCAGGGGCATGTACCTTGGTTGCGGGCACATCCCCAGTGGGGGGTGTGCAGGAGGCAGCTTATCGATGTTTCTCTCTCATCGATGTTTCTAGTTCTCTATCCCTCTCCCTTCCTCTCTGTAAAAAATCAATAAAATATATTTTTAAAAAAAATAATCCCTGTTTATTTCACTTGGTGTCATTTGTGAGCATTCCTACGTAAGCACCCTGGAACCGTAACTCTTCAATCGTGGGGGATATACATTTGGTTAGTACTACCAAATTGTTCCAGCAATGTTGGGTTAATTTACTCCCAAGAGGCTCTGATGGCTTTTATCTTTCCTTTCTCACTCACACATTGGCTAAGCCTGGGGATTCTCACTTGGTTACAATTTAACAAACCAACAGGTCACCCATCCTGAGGAGCAATGAAATTGGTCCTCTGTGCTCTCAAGGCACATGCCACCTACCTGTGACACTATGTATGACAGCACTCAAAGTGTCTGACCGTGTTCATGCCGGAATCCCTCGGTTTAAATCCCAAAGCTGTGCCCCTCACAAGCTGCAAGACCTAAGACCAGTGGTTCTCAACCTTCCTGATGCCGCGACCCTCTAATACAGTTCCTCATGTTGTGGTGACCCCCAACCATAAAATTATTTTCGTTGCTACTTCATAACTGTAATTTTGCTACTGTTATGAATCATAATGTAAATATCTGATATGCAGGATGTATTTTCATTGTTACAAATTGAACATAATTAAAGCATAGTGATTAATCACAAAAACAATATGTAATTATATATGTGTTTTCCGATGGTCTTAGGCGACCCCTGTGAAAGGGTCGTTCGACCCCCAAAGGGGTCGCGACCCACAGGTTGAGAACCGCTGCCTTAGACCAACAAATACAAATCCCTTAACTTATTTCATCTGTGTGATGGTGTTCATATCGGAATATTCTTACACACAGAAATGAAGGAGGATATGCAGGTTCCTATAAGTGTACTGTCCAATTCAGTAGCCACTAGTCACATGTGGCTATGTAAATTTACATTTATGTAAAATCACAAATTCTCTCCCACAGTTGCACTAGCATATTTCAAATACTCAAGAGCCACCATGGCCTGTAGCTACCATGCTAGACAGCCCAACAGAACATATCCATCACCTCAAAAGTTCTACTGTACAGCGTTGTCTTAGAACCTATACACATGGCACATAGTAGGTCCTCAATGAATGTTAGCTTTTATTACTATGATGATGAAAAATACATTTATTTTTTAATGTATACATGTACACTGATAGTCCGACAGAAAACTTTATGACTCTGTTTGATATTATCAGTGGGACTTTTGCTGCTGCATCACTGATGACAGAGATTTTACATCAGGTTTATATTTCGTGACCTTCAGAGATATGCACGAGCTACTACTTTCATCCGTCAGGCTACTCCTATTACGAGACTTAACAAAATTCATCACTGAGAACAAAGATTCACAAGCATATGTGGATGAAACCAAAACACTGGTCGGATCTAGGAAGGCAGGGAGAGTTAAGGCAGAGGCATAGAAATTGCTCTTCCCCTCTCTCGTCAATCCATGTCTATGGTCTTTAAGATAACTTGTTATGTAAAATTATTTATTTATCTAAGATGCACCTACACTGAATTTATCTGAAAAATAAAAAAGTCGATATTAAGAAAAAAATTGTAAATGGAAGATTATAAGAGAGGGATTCACGTGCCAGCAAAAGTTACTGGCGTGCCATATTTGGCACCCGTGCCAGGGGTTGCCCACCCCTGTACTAGGCCGTCTGACACCACCCACGCTGGGAAAAGATAGGTGGTTCATTATCACAAGGGGGCAGGGGTGGGGGGGCAGTCCAGGGTCCCACCTTGTCTCCACTGACTCTGTAGGGCTGGAAGGTACTGGTTTCCCCTTGGCAGGGAGGCTAGGGTGGCTCCTTAGAGCCCGGCAGGCTGGGGGTGGGGCTGCAGTTTTTCTGTAGTATTTGGCAGGGGAAGAGCAGTTACTATCTAAAAGTTTACTATCTTGCCCTGGCCAGTTTGGCTCAGTGGCTAGAGCATCAGCCTGCGACTGAAGGGTCCCAGGTTCGATTCCAGTCAAGGGCACATGCCCGGTTGCGGGCTTGATCCCCAGGGTGGGGCCTTGCAGAGGCAGCCTGATCAATGATTCTCTCTCATCACTGATGTTTCTATCTCTCTCTCCCTCTCCCTTCCTCTCTGAAATCAATAAAAATATACTTTTTTAAAAAAGAAAAAGAAAATGAAATAAAAGTTTGCTGTCTTGCTAGGCTGCCCCTTTCCTGGCTCTTTGACTAGTCAGAGGCTTTTAGGCTTTTTGGCTCTGCACCCATTGCTGCTCTCATTACCATACTCTGCAGCACTCAGTCTTAGATGAGGCGAGAAGAAACCCCAAGTAACTCAATGCCATGTCACTCCTGAGTCTTGCGGTCCCTGGCCAGTCTGCCTTCTCTCTACCTTTCACGTTTGTTTTACATTCCGTGTCCAGGAGTGTTAGCTGTACTTCGTTTTAGCAGGAAGAACAGGAAAAGAACATCTCTTCCATCTTTCTGGAAGTGGCAGTCTCCAGAATAGAGCACGTATGTTGGAAACCTGTTACAGCAGTGCTCTCTAAAACGACTTTTAAAAAACCTTCAGCCATGTTAATGCCTAGGAATAGCAGATTTTTTAAAGAAACATTAACTTATTGAAATATGATGTAGTCATTAAAAATGCAGGGAAGAGAAATGTCTGTTGGCTAGAACAGGGGAACTGGTATTGAACATTCCCTCCTACCACAAAAAAATGTAGGAAATATACAGACAAAATATATGGAACAACTGTTTTCAACATTGAAAGCACACTCCTTTAATCCCTGAAATAAAGGAAGCAGGTGAGATAAGCCCTATGATCACCCTAGATTTCTGCTTGTAGATAATTTTTTTAAAAAATCTTTATTGATTTCAGAGAGGAAGGGAGAGGGAAAGAGAAATAGCAACATTACAGTTATGAAGTAGCAACGAAAATAATTTTATGGTTGAGTCACAACATGAGGAACTGTATTTAAAGGGCCAGATGGTTGAGAAGGACTGTTCTAGACTCACCCTATCACGGCTTAAAAACAAAGCTCAAAAGAATCAAACTGAACCAAAGGGTCATACAACCATCTGAGTATAAACAGAAACAGTGTTTTACAAAATGTAACATTCATTCGTGATATCAACCCTAAGTAGCAATTTAACCACAATAAAGGCATCTACAATAGCCCATCAGGTAGCCCAGCTGGTGTGGCTCAATTGGTTGAGCATTATTTCATACACCCATTTGATTCCAGGTCACGGCACATACCCAAGTTGTGGGCTCCATCGCCAGTAGGGGGCCTGCAGGAGGCAGCCAATTGAGTTTCTCTCATCAATGTTTCTGTCCCTCTCTCCCTCTCCCTTCCTGTCTCTAAAAAATCAATTGAAATATATTACAAACAAACAAACCCACCAGGTAATGATGAAAGACTGAAAGCTTTCTCCCTAAGATTAGAAGCAAGGCAAGGCTGTATGTGGTCAGGACTTCTATTCAAAACTGTTCTAGCAGACCTAGCCAATGCAATAAGGGAAGAAAAAGAAGTCAACAGAATGAAGATGGGAATGCAAGAAGTACAACTCTTTATTTACTGTCTATATAAAAAATTCTGTGATGTACAAAATATTACTAGAACTAGTATGCAAATTTAGCAGAGTCAAGATACAAAAATCAATTATATTTATATATTCTAGCAACAAACTAATAGAAATTGAATTTTAAAGCCAATACCACTTATTTTTTATTTTTTATTATTTACTTCAGAGAAGAAAGGAGAGGGGGAGAGGGAGGAGGAAAGAGAGGGGGAGAGAAGGAGAGGGCGGGAGGCAGAGAAAGAAAGAAACATCAATGATGAGAGAGAATCATTGATTGGCTGCCTCCTGCATGCCCCATACTGGGGATTGAGTCCACAACCTGAGCATATGCCCTGATCGGGAATAGAATAGTGACCTCCTGCAAAACCAATACCATTTAGAACATCAAACCCAAAACATCACTTAGGGATAAATGTAACAAAATATGTGTAAGAACCCCTGGCCACTATTGCTCAGTGGTTAGAGAGTCGGCCCACACACCAAAGGATCACATGTTTGATTCCAGGTCAAGGGTGGATATCGGAGTTGCAGTTTCTTTTCTTTTCTTTTTTCTTTCCTTTTCTTTCTTTCTTTTTTTCTTTCTTCTTCTTTCTTTTTAATATATTTTTATTGATTTCAGAGAGGAAAGGTGAGGGAGAGAAAGATAGAAACATCAATGATGAAAGAGAATCATTGATCAGCTGCCTCCTGCATGCCCCACACTGGGCATCGAGCCCACAACCCAGGCATGTGCCCTGATCGGGAATCAAACCGTGACCTACTGGTTCATATATTGATGCTCAACCACTAAGCCACAAGGGTTGGGCCCAGGGTTGCAGTTTCGATACCTGGCCCCAGTTGGGGTGAGCGCAGGAGGTAACAATTCGATGAGTCTCTCTCATGTTGATGTTTCTCTCTCTCTTTCTCTTCTCCTCCTCCTTCTTTTTCTTTTCCTCCTCCACTTCATCCTCCTCCTTCCCTTCCTTCCACACTCTCTAAAAGTAAAATCAATGGAAAACATATCCTTAGGTGATAATTAACAACAACAACAAAATATATGTAAGAAATCTGTACACTGCAAACTATAAAACATGACTGAGAGAAATTAAATAAGCCCTAAATAAATGAAAAAAAAGAGATAAATGAAATATCTAAATGTTCATGGGTCAGAAGGACTTGTATCGGAAGCCGTGAGGCCCGAGCTTAGGTCCGGGAGGGATGGAGCGCTGAGCCCTTAACGTCTGCCAGGCCGTCCGCCTCCGCACCTGTTCCTGCTGCCATGTCCTCGTTGGACACTTGCCTGGGAGAACCAAGATGGCAGCATAAGGTATAGACCTGTGCATGCTGCCTCCCACAACAACACTGAAACTACCAACTATAAGACAAAACAGCTGTCATCCAGAACCATGGGAAAGCTGGCCCAGTGGAAGTTCTACAACTGGAAGGAAAGAAAGAAGCGCATTGAGACTGAGTAGGAGGTACAGAGGCGCCAAGAACAGAGGTACGGAGGCGCACGCCAGGCGGGCTGCAACTGGATGCGTGGTTTTTTTCAATCAGAAGGGGATACAAGCTCTCGAATCCACTGAGCTTGTTTGGGGCGGGACTCTGAGGTCCCAGACCCCTATGGGGAGAGGCTGGACTGTCTTGCAGTGGGTCGGAGAGTGAGGGTGGCTTTCTCGTGGAGCTGCTCGCAGGGATCATTGTTGGGCGCGGCACTCGGGGACGCGGAGACACGGAGTCACGGAGAGGCGAGGAGTTGCGGAGACGCTGACGACAACCATTGCTGTTTGCTTCGCCCTGGTGATTCTCTGAGACCCCGCCCTACTCAATTTACATCCCCACCCAAG